CACAGAGCCGGGAGTAATCCCTGAGCACTGCCAGGTGTTGCTCCCAAACAAAGAAACAAAGACCAAGCAAACAAACAAACAAAAAACCAGGATTTTCATGAAAATAGAAATCTCCCTGGAACCTGACTTAGTATCTTTAGGTTCTTCCGCATCAACTCCCACCGTTCTTCATCCTCCACCCCAAGCAGTGCCGCCCCCGGGGTGGTTTATAAAGGTCATTCTCCCCATATTGGGGCTTGGGCCTCAAATTCCGACCTCTTCAAAAAGAAATAAAATGGTTGGTGGAGTTTGTTCTCTATTCCTGTTCTGCTTTCAGAATCTCACTGACTTGTTTGTAAATTTGTTTCATCCATCCGTTCGATTGCTTCTTCCTGTCCCTTCATTCCCTCCTGCACACCTAGAGAGTCTGAAGCCGCCTGTCTGGGGACAACCACCAATCTGGTCTCTCCTAGGCGAGTGTGAGGCCTGGGGTTTGGGGCCGTACTTGTAGGTAGGTCCCGGGCACAGGTCTGGAGAGATGGGCCGGAAGGAGCCAGACACACTCAGTCTGAGGGTTGTCTTGCTCGGCAGATACTTAAAATGAGTTTTTTTGCCAAGACAGTTTCGTAACATTGCATCGCAGTTTCCCTGTTCTCTCAGCTAGTAGCAGGCCACCGGTCCCCCTAGCACTTGGAGGAGACACACCATCAACCTTCAAACGCTTTTGGATCTCTGCATTCCCTCCCAGCACTTCTTTCCTGAACCTTCTAGAAAGGTCTAGAAATGTTTTCTTTTGCTCTGTTTTGTTTTTTTGTTTTGAGGGGGTCACACCTTCTGGTGCTCATGGCTTACTCTTGGCTCCACATTCTCCTGGCAGGGTTCAGGAGACCATATGGGATGACGGGTATCGAACCCGGGGTTGGCCACCTGCAAACAAATGCCCTCCCTGCTGTACTATCGCTCTGGCCCCTAGAAACGTTTTCTGATATTTCTGTTTCCCTGCTCCTCCTGTCCACAGCACGTTTGCTTGTCAGCACTTTTGACACTTCCGTCACTGTCTTTTCCTCAAATAATTTCCCACACCTCTGAGGGGCACACGGTGGGTGTCTGGGAGCTCAGCTCCACTCTGACCCCGTCCAGTGGAGCCGCTGTCCATCCTCCTGTCCAGGGGCTCAGTACCCATGACTCTACTGCAGGTGCCAGTCGCAAGTCCCCTCTGCCTTGGGTGGTGCTCAGTGATCAGCTCCGAATCACGGGTCCCCGGTTGGGGTTCGATGAGTTTGCCATGTGGGCCGAATGAGCGCAGGGACATGGGCTGACCGCAGCAGGAAGAGGTGCGGGAAGCAGGCCCTGGGGGAGGGGGAGGGCACCCGCACCCCTACGTGACTACTGCTCACCTTCCCTTGTGGCTCCAGCACCCACAAACTCTTCAGATCTGGACAGGGGCATTCAAGGGGGCTCATTCCATAGGCTTCATTAGTAATAGGGACCATGGGGCCTCGACTCAGTCTCCATCGAGTCCCTCTTCCCTTCCAAGGTTGGGGTCCGACAGGAAGGTTCTGCTTAGTTCTCTCCCAGCCAGCTCCCATCTGTTGCTGTTTAGGGACATTAGCAAAGTCCCCTCCCCTCAGAAGAAGTTGGGAGGGGGTGATTAGGAACAGCAGAAGATGCTCCTTCACATTGCAGATTTTTACTAGGGAATTCCAAGGATTTCAGGTGCTTGTGTCAGGAAATGGCTGAGAACCAAGTCTTGTCTTTCTTTTTTTTGGGGGGGGTCACACCCAGCATTGCTCAGTGGTTACTCCTGGCTCTGCACTCAGGAATTACTCCTGGCAGTGCTCAGGGGACCATATGGGATGCTGGGAATCAAATCCGGGTCAGCCGTGTGCAAGGCAAATGCCCTACCTGCTGTGCTATCCCTCCAGCCCCAAGTCTTGTGTTTCTTATTACAAGTGTTGTCGAGTATGATAACTTGTGCAAAAGGAATGTGGACAGTCCTTCTGCCCATCTCTGACCTTTCAATTGTAATTTAATTCATTATTTTATTATTATTATTTTTGGTGGGGGCAAGCCCTGGCGGTATTCAGGTCTTGCTCCTGGCTCTGTGCTCAGGAATCAGCTCAGAGGACTGTGATGCTGGAGATAGAACTTGAGTCGGTGTGTGCAAGACAAATACCTTGCTCACTGTGCTATGGCTCAGCCCATAATTCATTTACATTTAAAGTAATAAGGAATAACTTCTTTCTGTCTTTTTGCACCCCTGTATGTCTTTTTTATTTTATTTTTATAAAGTTAGCACTGCACTGTAGCACTGTCCTCCCATTGTTCATCAATTTGCTCGAGCGGGCACCAGTAACGTCTCACAACAAATTATAAGACTTCCTGTTACTGTTTTTGGCATATCGAATATGTCACAGGGAGCTTGCCAGGCTTTGCTGAGTGGGCGAGATACTCTTGGTAGCTTGCCGGGTTCTCTAAGAGGGGCAGAGGAATCGAACCTGGGTTGGCAGCGTGCAAGGCAAATGCCCTCCCCACTGTGCTATCGCTCCAGCCCTTTATAAAGTTGTTAACAATAATTTATTATATTTAATATTCCGGGCTGGAGCGATAGCACAGCGGGTAGGGCATTTGCCTTGCATGCAGCCAACATGGCCGACTCGAGTTCGATTCCTCCGCCCCTCTCGGAGAGCCCGGCAAGCTACCGAGAGTATCTTGCCCGCATGGCAAAGCCTGGCAAGCTACCCATGATGTATTTGATATGCCAAACACAGTGACAACAAAGTCTCACACTGGAGACGTTACTGGGCCCGCTCGAGAAAATCGATGAACAATGGGAGGACAGTGACAGTGATTAATATTCCAACAGGACTGGAGCAATAGCACAGCAGGGAGGGCATTTGCCTTGTATGTGGTCAACCTGAGTTGGATTCCCAGCATCCCATATGGTCCCCCGAGTACTGCCAGGTGTAATTCCTGAGTGCAGAGCCAGGAGTAATCCCTGAGCATAGCTGGGTGTGACCCAAAAAGTAAAAACAAATAATAATAATAATAATAATAATAACTTTGGGCTGGAGTGTTAGCACAGTGGGTAGGGCATTTGCCTTGCACACAGCTGACTCGGGTTCGATTCTTCCATTCCTCTCGGAGAGCCCTGCAAGCTACGGAGAGTATCCCGCCTGCACAGCAAAGCCTGGCAAGCTCCCCGTGGCATATTTGATATGTCCAAACAGTAACAACAAGTCTCACAATGGAGAAGCATCTCCTGGTGCCTGCTCGAGCAAATCGATGAACAATGGGAGGACAGTGCTACAGTACTAATATTCCAACATCAATCCCACTACTATTACACCTTCCCACCACCAAATTGCAAATATTTCCATCTTGACCCCTAAAGCCTACCCCCAAAGCAGGAGCTAAATAACTTATTTTGTATTGCTTATTATGAATATTACAAGCAATAATAATAATGTTAAAAATGATCAAAAAAGTTTCCTTAAAGGAAAGTGTGTAAAGATTGTTATATTTTACCCTGGAGCTGACAAGCCCTGGTCTTGGTACATCAGTGGTATAGCATATGAGATGTTATATGGCCACAAATGTGGCCGCACACTCGAGGAGTTCTAAAATTGTAAATATGGTGATACAACTGAGGTTAATTAATTTTTTTTTTTTAGCTAGATGTTGACGTTGGGGTCCGGAGGCATCTCTGCATCATGTTGCTCTTGTGTTTCTGTCTTCCAAAAGATTTATTTCTGAGTCTCTGGATCATGGCCATTAATGAGCTTATATGGCGCCAGAGGCAGTTTGTGGGAGTGACTACCAGGCTACCAGAAGCACAGGGAGATGGGGGGAGGTCGCCCATTTCTGACTCCGTGGGAACCTGGAGGTTTCAGTCACAAGTCCCGCATACCTGGGTTTTTCAGCAGATTCACTCATGCATGAGGCTTGTCTGAGCCTATGGAAATTGGCCGTGAGCATGACAGTGGATGAGTTCTGGAGGTTTTCAACTGCTGGGCTAGTTGGGGTGGGCGGGGGGGACTCACCTGCCCTCCTCTAGTTTGCTCCGGATGAGACAGCCTGGCATGGCACCCCTGTGTGTCTTGTAACCTTTCCCTCTTCATTTTTTCCACTGCATCCTCTTTTAGGTTCTAGTTGTCTTTTTATAACATCCAGGTTTCCTTTTGTTTCTGTTCTACCGATATTTTCTCTCTGGTGGCAGAGTTAGGACAACCTGCAGCTCTGACTGTCTTGTTTGAGTGGGTACCCACTTACCTCAGTGCCATCCAAACTCTGCTCCCTGGAGTGCAGAGACCACCATGTGGTTCGGGAACCCTGTGCCGTTTCCTAACACCCTGCACTCACCACCCCCGGCTCTCTGTCTCTGGGGTTTGGGGGCCACACCCTATGGTGCCTGGGAACCCTCTGCAGTGCTGGAGATCACCCCTAGCTCCTGAGGACCTGTCATTTCTGAGGAGTGCTCCTGGGAAAGACACAGTGTGCTCTGATGGGATTCTGGAAGGGTCTAGAAGGATCTGGAAGGATCGGGAAGGTGCTGGGAGCTTGTGTGGCCCAGCCAGGCTCTGATTGTTGATTCCTCTCCCCAACAGTAGATAACAGAAGTGTGGGGTCAGAGCTTCTCCATGCTCCTGTACCCCCCGCCCCAACCCCGGCTGTTTCCAGAGGGCCCTGGATAGTCGATTCTCAGCACCCCTCTCCACCCACCCAAGTATTTTCTGCGATAAGCTCCTGGGCTTAGTGGAGAGAGGTCAGCACTGGGGCCTTGTGCCTGAGCTGCCTCATCCCCCTGCTCTTCCCATCTTCCAGGGCGGAGTTGGTGGCATACAACGTCAGGGGAGGTGTTTAGGGGGCTCTGGGCTGTGCACATCAGTGGATGTTCACGGGGTCTTGGGTTTCAACAGGGTTGGGCCAAGGCTGGGGGCTGGGGGGGAGGGTTTCCACATGTCTTGGGCCGAGACTATGCCCTGGGCTGCCTGGTACCTCTGCGCTCTCTGTCCTTTCAGCTCAGACCTACTGTGACCGTCTGCTCCAGGATGCGCCTTTCCTGACAGGCCCCGGGCGCCTGAGTGAGCAGCAGGCGGACAGGATCATCCTGCAGCTGAACCGCTACTACCCCCAGATTCTCAGCAACGAGGAGGCGGAGAAGGTGCTTCAGAGAACCGGGTGCTCCATCCCTCATCCAGGGCTGGGGAACACTTCTGGCCCTGTGAGGCAGAGAGGCCGAAACCCGTGTCCTTGAGTGATTTGGGTTTTCTAGGAGGGCCGCAGGAAACAGCAATCCAACAGGGTACAAATGGGGGGGAGGGACTGGGGGGAAGTAGAGGGTACCAGCCAGGGCCCCTGCCCTTCACTCAGCCACACAGAAAGTCCAATATGGGCAAACATGCTGGGTGTGCCCTTAGCGTGGGTGGTCCTGGGGATCTGGGGCTTCAGAGCACTGGGAACATCCTACCCACCCCACCCACAACCCTCATCCTCCCCCAGGGACCAAAGGGTGTGAGCCATCTTCCAGCCGAAGTCATATCCGGTCCTTCTGCTGGAGCTGTGCGTTCCTGCTGCTGTGGGCTCACTGCCCCAGCCGGGCGCTCCCAAAAGTCGAGGCTTCTCCCGGGGCGCATAGCACGACCCCCCAAATACAGTCAGCCAGGGCCTGCCTGTTCCCGGCTGTGTCACTTCTTAGGTGACATGAGTCCCACGGTGGGTTCAGAGCAGAAGTTCCTGCTTTCCTTCTGGGGCATCCTCCTTATAAATCGTTTGGAGTCCCCAACATTTGTGGATGGAAAAGGGAAACCCCTTTCACACACACACACACACACACACACACACATATGCACACGTTCCTACACACATATACACACATACATATACATACACATATACACATACATAATGCACACATACACATATACACATGTTCACACATACACAAATATACACATTCACACATATACCTACATATGCGCACATACATATCTATACACATACATACATGCATGCATACATATTCACACATATGTACCCACATGTACACATACACACACATACACAAATACACACGCACATACACACGCACACTCACACCTGCTGCGGGGTAAGGTCCCGGTGTGCCTGTATCTGGGGCACAGTCCGTGTAGCACCTCACGCGGCCGTCAGGGGGCAGCACTGGGCTGGTGCCGGCCTCCTTGTGCCGACGGCTGCTGCCAAGCGCCTGCTCACTGACCTTTCCAGCCAAGGGCCCCCGGGGAGCCTGCGTCTCCCTCTTGGCCAGCCGGGCTTTATTTTTCAGGATCCCACGTCCGGCGGGAATGAGCACTCAGGGCCCGTCTCACTGCCTCCCCCCATGGCCCTCGCTGGGGGCTGCTTCTTCCCGGGGTGGAGGTGGGGAGCAGCTGGCCAGTCACTCTGAGCCCCGGGTGTGTGTGTGGGGGGGAGGGGAGGGTGCCACCAGCTCCTCCCCGGAGGCCTCCATGTGGTCTGGCCCTGACCCAGCCCCGTGTCCCTCCCCAGTTCCGGAACCCCAGGGTGGCACTGCGCGTGCGGCTCTGTGACCTGCTGGGCCACCTGCAGCGTAGCGGGGAGCAGCACTGCCAGGAGTTCTACCGGGCCCTGTTCATGCACGCGCAGCCCTTGCACGCCTGCCTGCCCAGCCGCCACGCCCTGGGTGAGTCCCCCCCCCCGGGGCCCACCCCCCTCTCCTCCCCTCTTCCCCACCCCCAGGCCAGATTTTGTGCAGAGTCAGCACCTGGTGCCAAGCCCAGTTAACTGACCATGTCGGGGGCTGTGGAGGTGGCCCTCTCCCCGCGGTGGTTCTTGGGGGACAGACCTCCAGCACACAGTGTGTCCTGCAGGGCCCTGCGCTAAGCAGAGCAGAATGGCTCTGTCCTGTGGCCTCGCGTCCAGGAGTCGTGACTGTCCTTGGACAAGGTCCCGGAGGCCCGAGGGACAGGGGCACTCACCCACAGCTGTGCAGTGGGGCCCCCAAGCCGAATGGATCCCGAGCTCACGCTCCAGCAGTCTTACTCTAACCCTGCAGCCAGCAGGGGCCCTGGGGTGTGTGGTGGGCAGGGGGGCTGGGGGTCACTCCCAGGTGCAGGGCTCTGCACACCTACCCGCTCGCTATCCGAGGCCCACCCTGGGGTGTGTGGTGCATAGAGGTCTGAGGTCACCTCCAGGTGTATGTCTCTGTGGGCCAATGTGGGCGCCCCGGGGTGCCCCTTGGGAGTGGGGAGGGGTGCCAGTGAGGGCTTCTGAGTCTGGTCGCAGCCCCCTCCCCCTGTGCCTGCCTCCCACAGTGCTCCCAGTGGCAGGGCCGGTCGGGCGGGAGGCTGGGGGCAGCACGACAGAGGGACCGTCCCTCCTCCCCGGCCTGATGCCACTAACCCGCCCCGTGATTCTGTGGTTTTGTTTCCAGAGGACTCAGAGAGCACAGAGCTAGCCTGGGCGGCTGCCGGCCACGAGTTCAGTGACAGGGGTAAAGGCCCTCCTCGCCCGCCCTGCCCCACCACCCCCACACGGGGCCTTGCGGCACCCCCTCTCCAGGCCGGGATCCCCGTGGATGGACCCCCCAGGGACCCTCTGGGCGGCCACTTACCCGGCCGGCTTATGTCTCCCCAGGGCCCGTGGCGTTCCTGGCCTGCCTGGGCTTGGCGGCAGGGCTGGCCCTGCTTCTCTACTGCAACCCTCCAGGTGGGTGCCTCAGTTTCCCCAGCTGGAGGGGCAGAGAGGGGTGGACGTGGGTCAGGTCTGCCGGCCTCCCCGAGCATCAGAGGACACTCGTGCTCAGGGCGTCTGCCCTCCTGGCTTGTGGGAACCGCTCCCCCCCACACACACACACAACTGGGCCATCCCTGTGGCCTCCCCCATCTGCTAGGGGTCCCCAGTCCCAGAGTGATGCCATGGGGCAGTGAGCCTAGTGGGGACGCTGAGGCGCCCTCTCTTGTCTTCCAGACTCTAAGGTGCTCCCAGGGACCCGGCGCATCCTGGCCTTCTCCCCCATCATCCTGGACCGCCACGTCAGCCGCTTCCTGCTAGCCTTTCTCACAGACGACCTGGGGGGACTCTGACACCGCCTCCCCCCACCGCACACTCACCAAAGAGCCCCCGTGCCCGCTGGGGCCGCTGCTTTTCTACTCATTGGTTTTCTACTATTTATCGTTTCTGCAAGAAGCACATCACCCTCATGTACAAAGGTGCCCGGCGACATTAAACGCTCGGCGACATGAAATGATGCTTGAGTCTGGCCTTGAGGTGGAGGCGCTGGAGTTGTTTCCCACGTCCCCGGGATGGTGCCGCCGGCTCAGACCAGTCCCAGGGCTTGCAGTTCTGTCCAGCCCAGACCCAGACCTGGGTAGGCCGTGGGCCACCCTGCCCCCAGCTGTCCCTCCCTTGTCTCAGACACACCATTGCTGAGTGTCCCCTACCCCCAAGAGACATCTTTCGTGTCACTCTCTCCCCTCTCACTGTCCCTGGATGTCCTCCGTCGGTGCTGTCTACGCTGTCCCCTACTCCCTGACCCAGGGAAACCTCAGCCGGGCGTGCCCCAGGCCCATCTGCTGCTTCTGCCCAGTACGACCTCCCCTGGCCAGACCCCAGCGTGCGCCTGAGCACCTGCGGGGGACACTGTTTGGTCATCCCGGTGCCTGTCACTGCCCACCACCTACTGGGGTGGCCTGGCAAGTGATGGCCATGATTGCTCTGGCCAAGAGACAGGAGAGAAGGAGCTGGCCAGTGGGTGGGGGACATTAGGCCCAGCTCCTGCCTTCCCTGCAGGGTCCCCAGAGTGGAGGCCAGCCCCTGCTCCCCCTCCCCCAGACCCTAATGCTAGGAAACAGCTGAGGACATGAAGCTTTGTCCTTGACCCCACAGAACCTTCTAGAACTTTAAGGCCCACTGTGCTGCCCTGGCCCTGGGCGTTGCCTCTTCCTGCCTTCTGCTACAGCTGGGGCCTGCGCACAGTCCCTCCTGCCCTCCGTGTGGGGTTCCTGACCTGCTCGATGACGCTGTGGCCAGAGGCCCAGGTCTGGTCTTGGCCTGGCACCGCCCCCGCCCCCTCCGCCCCCCGCCAGGATGTCTGTCCATCTCACCTGCTGCTCTCCAACTCAGGATCCGGGTCCCGGCTTGGCAAGTGCACATGTGCACACAGATGGGAAGGGGTCCTGGGGTTCACCTTTAGTACCCTGCTGCCCAGTGCTGTGCCCCAGGTCCTCTTGGGGTGGGTTACGCTGGGCACAGGGAGTGGCCGAGGCGTGGAGCCAGGGCCACTTAGCACCTGGAGAGGGTCCACAGCCGCCACACGTGTACATGCTCATGGGAACACACGTGCACACACGCACAGATGCACAGCATCTGCACACACACGCTCATGGAACACGGGAGCCAGTCGAGGCCCGAGCGCCCTGTGTGTGTCCGCACAGCTGCCTGGTCAGTGCTGGGCTGGCATGGCTGAGGCTGGACACAAGGGTCTGGGCGTAGCCCCCTTTTCCAGCCACCCCGCCCGCCAGCCTGTCAGCTCCTTCCCCTGCGCCTCTGGGAGAACCGGACGTGTTTGCTGACTGGAGAGTCATCAGGAGTTTGTATTTCCCCCGGGCTCTGGGGCCAGACAAGCTGACTGCAGCGGGGTGAAGTCTGGCCCCCCTCAGGCTGGGATGGGGTTCCTGTCCCTGTGGGTCAGGGGCGTGCCACTACCCTTGATCCTCCTGGAGTCTTGTCCCCCTTCCCCACCTCCCCCGCCCCTGCCTGCTCCAGTCTGTGACCCAGCACGGTCCTGGCTTCCAGTCTCAGTTTACCTGAAACAGATGTGGAACCGTGGCCACAGCACACCGCTTTGCTGGAAGACACAGCTAATGGGACCGCCCTGTGACCTCAGGGACCCCCAAGCTGTGTGGGTTGAACAGGGACCCCCCCAGAACTCCCCCTGAGAGGTGAGCGGCCCTCTCACCTCCTGCTTCTGCTGTCTGGCCTGGCCTGGAGGAGACCCCCACCTCGTTCCAAGCCCCCCATGGAAGCTGGCGCCGTTCCTGGGAGTCGGAACTTGGGGACTGCCCGTCACCATGCCTCTGGGCTCCAGGTCAGGAGGCGGCCCCTGAGGTGGGCAGAGCCCAGTGACCCCCACCCAGTGCAGCCACGCCAACCACAGCACCTGAGCCCACGGAAACTCACCTGGGTGGGGCCTCCACGCATGTCCTGCACTCGGCGGACCCCCGCGGAGACAGACAGGCGTGGTGGGGCTGATAGACACACAGTGTGTGTGGGGGGGAGGGGCGGGGCGAGGGCGTGCTGAGTCTGAGTTATGGGGTCACGAGGCTGCTGTCCTCTGTGCCACCCGGTGGACGTGACCTGGGTCACAGGGGGAAACCACAACTGTGCTTTGCACAAGCAAGGGTGACGCTGCTGGAACTGGGCTGTTGTTTCCGGTTCCATCCTGCACGCAGCTGCTGTACTGGCAGGGCCTGCCATGGAGCTGCGGAGAGGGAAGTTGGGGGGTTCGCGGGGTCCCTTGGCCTAGGGTGAGGCCACCACCAGTTCTCCACACTGGGGGAGGCAGACTCCTGGATGGAGGGGTCTCTCTGCTCACACTAGCCTGGCCCGGCCATCCTGGGCACAGATGCAGGGCCGGCCAAGTAGCACAGACCCCCTCAGGAGAGACCCTCAAGAGCAACTAACTGATGAGAGCCCTCAGAGAGGAACCCGAATGAGGGGTGGGTGGGGGACAAAGGACAGGGCCCCAGCCGGGCTGGTCTGGCCTCCACTCAGGTCTCACGGGAAGGCCTGGAGGGTGGGCTCTGGGGTGAGGGGTGTGGGGCTCCCACAACACCTGACTACAGCACCCACAGCCCACACACCCGACCACAGCACTCATATACCCTAACCACAGCACCCATACCTCCTACAGCACCCATACCACCCATCACAGTACCCAAATAACTGGCCACAGAACCCACGCGCCTGACCACAGCACCCACACACCTGACCACAGCACCCACACTCCCCACAGCCCACACGCCCGGCCTCAGCACCCATAAACCCTAACCACAGCACTCACAGTTCTCACAGCACCCATGCCACCCACCACGGTACCCAAATAACCAGCCACAGAACCTACGCACACATACTGACCACAGCACCCACGCCCCCGACTACAGCACCCACATAACCGACCACAGCAGCCTCAGACCCTGATCACACATCCGGGACAGAGCTGGCGTGTGGTGTCCTCCGGGCCTGTGTGTGGGTCCATGAGGGACGGCAAAGCTGCTTCTGTCCCCAGTCCTCAGCCGGGGCCTTGGCAGAGCCCATCCAGCCTACTCTGAGGCCATGCACCCACCCACACCCGCCATCCACCCTCCCGGCCCCATGAAGGTCCTCGCAGGCCTGGCCAGCTCCCATGGCTTTGTGCTGGGCAGCATGGACTCCCGTCCTGGAGCGGGGACCCGGGGGCCCTCCCCTCAGCCCTGCACCCCACCCGCCTCTCCCGCAGTACGCAGACTGGAGAAGGAACCAGCTAGGAGTGGGCCCCTACACGGGCTCGTGTTTATCTGCCCTTCGCAGCAGTGACTTGAGTGGACCTGTGGGGACCACTGCTGGCCATAGACACCTGCTGGACACACGAGGGAGTGTGAGGGCCTGAGACTGCAGGGCCCGAGAGGGGGAGGTGGCCCCAGAAGGGCCTGGCTCCTCCCCCAACTCCGAGCCTTATCTCTGGGGAGATGGTGGGCGGGACTTTCCGAATTGGGCTAGACTAGCTGGTGGACTCAGGGCTTGGACACAGGCGCTGGTGGGCGGGGCAGGGGGGAGGGTGTGGAGGGGGTGGTGGCCAGGTGTGTGGTGACAGCGGCAGTGAAGGTGGCCACAGGGAGACCCAGCGCTGGCCTGATTAGCACAGAAGTTTCTGCCAAGGCCCTAACGAGGGACATCTGGGGTCAGAGGGCATCAGAGAGGTCAGAGGTGAGTTTGGAGGCTGGTGGCAGTGCGTGTGGCACACCCACTCTCATGTCGTGTCCCCAGAATTCCCAGTACCCCAGCTTGGCCTGGTGACTGGGGCCCAACCACACGGGGACCCCTCTCGTCATGTCCCCGCACCCACCCCCGATCTGCTGGCTTGGCCCGGTGACTGGGGCCCAGCCAGCAGGGGACCCCTCACCCCACAGCTGTGTCTGGGCTGAGAGAGGAGTGAAGGCGTCGGGCTCAGGACCCCCTGGTGACTTGTTGGTCCTCACACAGGTCACACTGGCTGTGCCCACTGGTGCGAGTGTGGGGTGAGCTGGGCCTGGTCTGTCCTGAGTCTGACTGACAGGTGGGCAGGCCCAGTCAGGGCCAGAGTCTGGCAGAGCGGGGGTCACGCACTCATGGGGACCTGCTCCCGGCACGGGGGCCTCCCTGCACCCCCAGCACCCCGCGAGAGGTCCTTACTGGGGTCTCAGCCCCGGCCCCATCCCACCGCTGGTCTCACCCATGGTGCGGAAGGAACTGGTGAGTCTTAGAAATTCCCATGAAGGGCTGGTACAAGCCACTGGGCTGAGTATCCCAGGACACATGGGGGGATGGTGTCCAAACAACTTGGGGGTCCCCCCCTGTCCTGCCCGCAGCTGCCAGGTGGGGTCGAAGGAGCCCGGGGTGGGGGAGGGGGCCCTCAGCACGATGCAAGAAAAAGCTTCGGCTTTATTGGTCACTCAGGTTTAGAAAAACAGGGGCTCAGGCTCCCGAGAGAGGTGGCCGGGCCCCCAGTGCTGGTGGGGACCGAGTGCCGGGCCTGGGGCCACCAGTCCAGTCGTGAGGCACAGATTGGCGGCCATAGCTGGGGCCGAGAAGGCGTCAGAGGTGGAGAGGGCAGATCCCCGGGTGCTGCACGCCACAGGCGTCATTGTCTCTCCAGAAACGTCCTGAGACCGTGGCCTGCCCTGCCCCTCGTGTCCCCGGCTCTGTGTCCTGCCCCTTGGGCCCCGCTGGGCACAGCTTCCAGGACACAGGCTGGTGTCGGGAGCAGCCTGACTGCAGATGGCATGTCCCCGCGTGCAGTCTGGAGGGTGGCTGAGGGTCCCTGGGGTCGGAGGTGGCGCCCCATGTGGGCCTGGGAGACGTCTGCAGAGGGAGAGGAGAAAGTACAGGTGCCCGCCCGGGGCCCAGGCTAGTCAACGCTGCCCTGGAGTCTCCTGCATCGCCGTCAGGATGTATGCTGCCATGGACGGTGGTGGACATGCGCTCTGAGGCTCACGGGTGTTCACGACTCCTGCCAGCAGGGGCTTCCTGGATCAGGGGTTCTGCAGGTGAAGAACAGACAAGAGAGCTGGCACAGGGGCACAGAACGGGCAGTGCTGGAGCCAGGGGTTGTTGGGGGTCCGGCTCCTGTGGGACAGAGCCTTGTGGCGGTTCCCTGGAGCGGCCGGTGAGCCTCCTCTCGTCCACTCGGCCGCTGCAGAGGCAGCTTCGGGCCATATTCGGGGCAGTGAAGGGACGCGGAGTGACACTGGGCCAAGGCCACTGGATGGGTGGTACAGCCTAATGGGTCCCACACGCCAGCGGCGAGGACAGGAGGGGTCCCTGCAGGCAGAGTCCTGGGGCCCCCCGGCCCCTCCAATGCCTGAGGTCACGGGGCGCCAGGTGGGGACCTGAGAGAGCATGGACCCTCTGGGCAGATGGTGGGCAGCAGCGGCCACCCCCGCAGCCCCTCGCCAGCTTACCTGGGCCTCTACTGCGGGGAGGCCACATCCCCCAGGGGCTTCTGGACACCAAAGGCAGTGATGAAGATGTTGACCACGACGATGATGAAGACCAGGCCCGTGGCCAGGTTGTTGAGGAAGTCCAGCTTTGCGTGCTTTGCAGGGTTGTTGAGGTCATACTTGACTGTAGGCGAGAGGAGATGAACTGGGCTGATCATCCTGCGGGGGTGGGGGGGGGGGCAGAACCACCCCGCAGGGAGCTGCCCTCGGAGTGCTGTCTACCCCCTAGAGGCCCGCTGTGCCTGCACAGCCTGGGCCAGCCCCAGGCTTGCGCCTGCGCCAGGGGCCTGGGTGGGCTAAAGCCATAGTCCACCCTGGGCTTGCTTCTAGGGACACAGTGCCCCTGGCCAAGCCCCTCTCTGAGTGTCAGCATGTCGGGGTCCCTCGGGCAACTGCGTCACTGTGGCTGGGTCACTGAATGTGACCTCGCACTGACCCTGAGCCTCATGGTCACTTCAAAGAGGGAGGCCCAGAAGATCAGGAAGTTGGAGGAAGTGATAGTCCCAGGACCATGACACAGCTTTCCTGAACATTTGTTTCTGGGTCAGGGGTCCTGCCTGGTGAGCTCAGGGGACCATATGAGGTGCTGGGAATGGAACCAGGGTCGGCCACACACAAGGTAAGCACCTTAAACCCAGTGTCACCAATCCAGCCCCTTGAAATGTTGTTTTAGGGCCATGAAGTCCCTTTTAAGCACCATCTCTGCTACATTCTGTCTGTCTGAAAAAGCTGTTCAAATATACTGGCTTATTAATCTAGCATTAGGTTCGCTACCCGTAGGGAACGAAGCGTTACTTTTTCCAACTCTCAGTGTGTGGTCATCTACTCTTTCCATACATTTTGTAAGTTTTTCCTCCACAGATTTTATTGTCTGATTTCAAATATTATTTATATGCAATGAATCTACTCTTTTCTCTATGCCATAGTCCACTCTCTCCTTTTATGTTTTTGTTTGGGGGTCACTTTCTGCAATGCTCTGGGTTTACACCTGGCTCTGTGCTCAGGGATCACTCCTGGTGGTGCTCATGGGACTACCTGGGATGCTGGGAACGGAATCCAGGCTAGCTGCATTAAGGCAAGCGCCCTCCCTGCTGTGCTCTCTCTCTGGCCTTCCCACGACACATCTAAGCCTAGCATCGTTTGGGGTCAGGGCAGCCATGCAGCCCCCGATGGACACAGTAGCTGCCCAATGCACCAAGGCATGTCAGTTCAGTTCTAAGTGCGTCTGGGAAATCTTCCTGTGTCCTTGGTGTGGGCAGTGGACAGACTGAGGTACAGGGAGGAACCACACAGGCCCGGTGCTGACAGGGGATGACCCTCCAACGCCCCCGTCCCGCCCTGTGCTCAGAGCAGGCTGGCTAGTGAATGGTCCCTGTGGGGGAGGGCAGCAGGGCGACCGGGACAGACGCACCCAGGAAGATGAGCAGGACGCCCACGCCGATCTGGAGCACCAGGGAGATGGAGATGAGGACCACCAGGGGCACGAAGAAGGCGAAGCTGGGCCCCTGCTCGATGACGGCCTTCAGCTGGGAGGCGTTGGCCATCAGCAGCGCGATGTCCAGCATGCTCTCGGCTGCGCTTTTCTTGTTGGCATAGTGGTTCACGTTGATGGGCCGGTTCCGGCCCCAGCGAAGTGGCTGCAGAGGGCAGAGGTCGATGTGGGGGGGCTGGTGCGTGCGCGCATGCATGTGTGTGTGTGTGTGTGTGTGTGTGCGCGTGCATGTGTGTGTGCGTGTATAGTATGTGCATGTGCGTGTGTGTGTATGTGTGAGTGTGTGCATGTGTGTGTGCGTGTGCGTGTGCATGTGTGTGTGTGCGTGCACGCACGTGTGTGTGTATGTGTGTGTGCAGGTGTGATTCCCACTGCCCTCAGCCAGGGGGTGCCGGAAGGACAGAGTCCTGCAGCCTGGCATGGTTCCCTGTGGTCAGGCCTCAGAGCAGGAAGGAAGCCAAACCCACCCTCAGCACATGGTGCTCTGAGCCTGGGCGAAACAGCTGGGGGCCATCCAGGCCCTTAGCTGCTGGGCTGGCCACTCCCCTGCAGGCGCTCCCCTGTGGGCCCAAACCCCCAGCTACTCTTCACTTCCTGTTTATTCTACATTAATTCAAGAATGACCAGGGGGTGGCAGGGACCTGGGGGGGTGAGGGGGGTGTACAGGATGTGGACGGAAGCCCAAGCTTCCAAAAAGCAACACATGGGCTCTACCCGATGAGTCCCTTCTTTTTAATGAAGGAAGGGGGGGAGCATTTAGCCACTTTACTGAGGTATGATTGAAATTTAAAAAGTTGTAGGGACAAAATGAGAACCTCCTGGAGGGTGTGGAGCTAAGTGTACACCACAAAAGCAGCCTCACGGTCAAGGCTAGGGCAGCACCGCCCTGTGGACACCCTCAGTTTGGAGCTTGAGGGACAGGGAAGCTGGCCTGCAACCTCATGCAGGATTTCCCCTGCCCTCGTCCCAGCACCCCCGAAACAGCCACACCCGTCCTAGCACGTGCTTCCTGCCTCTGCTGAGGATTCCAGGCCTCTGGGCCAGGCTCTCTGGACCTCTAAGTGCCTCCATGTTCCTGGCCCGGGGGCAGTGGCCACTGCGTCCAGGAAGCCCTGGTAGCTTTCTTCAGCTGATAGGGCTAAAGAAGCCGAGGGTGCAGGGTGCGGGGGAGGCAGAGGGCCAGAAGGCAGCTCTCTGGGCCCAGCCGTGGGACCTTCCTCCTGGTGTCCCTTCCCGGGCCCCTAGGACCAGCCGGCACCCCTGGCCCTGACTCACAGACTTCTGAGCCTCCTGGGCCCGCTGGGAAGATTCTGTTTCCAGGCTCATGAAAGATGCAGGTGGGAGGCGGGGGGCACGGCCAGCACACACAGCGCCAGCAACATGCAGCTGGGGCCGTTTCACCAGGATGCAGAGGTGAGAAGCTACCCGTCCTCAGGCCAAGACTCTGTCCAGGACACGGCCAGGAGGGCGCAGCCGGACGGCCTCAGCACCTCGCACCGCCCCTTCCCGTGACTTTCTGTTTGGTTGGTTTTCTGTTTGTTCTTGGGCCGTGCTCAAGGCTTACTCCTGACTCTGCCTGGTGGAGCTCAGGGGATCATACGGGGTGCCAGGGACCAAACCTGCATTAACTGCATCCAAGGCAAGCGCCCTACCCCCATAATTACTCTGGCTCTGTTTTTAAAATGGTGCCTTTTTGTTGTTTGTTTGTTTGTTTGTTTTGGGGTCACATTCTGCAGTACTCAGGGATTATTCCTGGTTCTGCACTCAGGGATCACTCCCGGTGGGCTTCAGGGGGATCACATAGGGTGCCAGGGATTGAATTCGGTCAGCTGCATGCAAGGCAAATGCCCTCCCTACAATACTATGGCTCCAGCTCTTCAGTAGAAGCATTTGAACCCAGGGGCCCCATGGGAAGCCTCCTGTTTGGGCATGGGGTCAGCTGTGCTAAATGCCATCAATGCACACACACATACTCACACTCACACTCACTTGTACACACTCACATGCTCATATGCACTCACACACTCATACACAACTCACACACTCATGCTCATACACACTCACACACACACACACACACTCAGGTCCCACCACACCTCAACTTTACTCTTGACACTGGGAACAGCAGCTATTTCCAGGGTCCCGGGGATCTCTGTCCGCTGACTGGCTTGGAGGTCAGCCCTGTCCCACCTCAACAAGGCCACAGCTCAGCACACTCCACGTCCCTAGACGCATGGTATGCTTCATGCTTCATAAACTGAAGCAGTACCAGGCTGCCTTCCTCGAGACCCTCCTTCCAGTGCTCATTCTGGTCCCAGAGCATATAGTGAAGCAGGGGCCTTGGGAGGAGCGCGCACCTGGGACACAGACACGTGTGTACACAGGATGTGTACACAAACACGCACCAATTCCACGCCAGCCACACACGAGCATCACCTATACACAAGCACATGAACACCTATGCATGGGTCCAGGGCATCCACACTGCCCACACACAAACACAGCCATGTATCGGCACACACAGGCCCACAGGCATTGCACATACACCCACGGCCACAGGCACAGAGGGTGGCCCTGGGAAGGAGGGCGGTTCCCTCTATCCTGAGTTCCCTTCAACAGTTTCCACAGGCCACAGTTCACTAATCCACGAGTGACACCAGTGCCTGAGCATAGCCACCACCCCACCCAGTCTTCAGGGAGTCTCCTGCGCTCCACTCACAGTTGGTAAACCGAGGCCTGTCTGGTGAGGGTTCTGGCTGCGGTCAGGCGCACCCTAGGGGGATCCGAGTTGGGACTCTGGTGCCGAGATCAAAGCCCAGCCCAGCAACAGAGGCTGACTTCTCCCCAGGCCTGTGTCCTACACATGCCCCAGGGGCTTGGAGCAAGCACCAGGCTAAGTTCTCAGGAGTCTGACCACTGCCTCGGAGGCCCCTGCGCCCTCCCGACCCAGGTGGCTACCTGCCTCTGAGTCAGCATGGGCAGCAACCCAGGGTCTGCAGTCCTGAGTCCCGGGGCTCACCATGCCCCTTCCACTGTGCCCTGAAAATGGACCCACCAGGTGCTCCACGAGCCCTGCAGAGGTGCTGCTGCCCCACACGGAGTGTGTCCACTCACCAAGGAGGCCAGAGAACACAAAGCCAACCTGCTGGCTCTGAAGGCCAGTGCCTCTGAGCACTGGATCAGCCTTGCCCACAACATGTGTGTCTGTGTATGTGTGTACATGTGTGAAGCATGTGTGTGCATGAAGAACATTGTGTCGGCCACATAAGGAGCATGTGTGCATACATGTGTGTTTCTGCATGTGTGTGTTATATGTCTGTATGTGTGTTTTGTGTGTGTGTGTGTGTGTGTATGGTGTAGTGTGTACTAGAACCTTCAAACAGCAGAGCTCCTCAGGAGGAGGCAGGAGGGAGCTGTGACACATTCATCCCAGTTCAGACCCTGTACTCAGCCACCTGAGGAGGGGCTGACTCAGGCCCTGTGGCGAGCACTGTTGGTAGAGTCCCCAGGAGCCCCATCTGGGAAAGTCCCCTAGGCTGCAGGCTGCTGGGAGCCCGTCTCCAGGGCCTGGCCTGGAGTCCTGCCCACCTGGCTGCCAGGAACTGTGTTGGGCATGGCCGCCCAGACCTCTGCCAGTAACCGGGGCGGTGCAGGGAGCAGATGCCCTGATCTGAGGCCCTGGTCCACGGGGTCCCCAGATTGCTGAGGCAGGAGATCAGGGCGTTTCCCTGGAAGTCCAGAGAAAGCACGGGGGTGCCTGCTCTGTGCAGAGCACTCGCAGGGTGGACCGGAGACTGTGGCTATGCACAGATGCCCGTGCAGTGGACCCCAGGGGCACTGGGCCGTGCGTTGAGAGGACAGCAGGGGTGGGTAGAGGCCTGCACAGTTGCTCGGTGCCCCCAGGCTTGGATGCCAGAGGTTGGGGCTGCTCACAGCTGCGACTGGACCCCCTGGGAGAAAAGTTCAGACCAATGCCACCAACCCCTGCAGAGCCCTGGGGTATCTGGGGCCTGTACTAACCCCTTAAAATTAAGCCACCAGGCTCCAGGCCGCTCTGAGCCTCAGGAGTCCCACCCGGGATTCCTCTCAGACCCTTTCACTGCAAGTTCACTGGGGGCGGCTGCCAGCAACCCCTCAGCAGCGCAGGACTGCTGCCCACCGGCTGCTGCTGCAGGTTCCTCATCTGCATACAAACCACACGCGCACGCAAACATACACACACACACACACACACACACAGGACCATACACACAGGGCCACATGCACATACACACAGGACCACATGCATACACACAGGGCCACATGCACACACATACACAGGATCACACAGACATGGTCATATGCACACACACACACAACACACAGGGCCACAAGCACACACATACACACAGGGCCAAATGCACACACACAGGGTCACACACACACACAGGACCACATACAGACATGGTCATATGCACATGCACAGGGCCACATGCACACACACAAGGTCACATGCACACATGCACACACACAGGGCCATATGCACACACACAGGGCCACATGCAAATACAGAGAGCTACATATGGAGACACACACAGCACCATGCACATGAACGCACAAACACACAGGATCGCGCACACAGAGACGCACAGAAACAAACTCACACAGGGTCACATGCGCACACATGGCCGTGCAGATACATGCATCGTGTGTGTGAGCAGGGCCCTCAGGGGCGTGGTCCCAGTGGCTAGGAGACTTGTGGCTCCACCCCTTCCTCCTCCCAGTGCAGCACCGCGGGAAGTTCCCTTCCTGAGCCCGATCTCCCCCAAAGGGCTGCATCTGTGACTGAAGTCACAGAGCAGAAGCCAGGAGGGAAAGGAGGTGCCTGGAGAGGAAGTCTCGGGTCCAAGGACAGCTCAGGACAGCCCACGCTCTGTCCCTGACCCTGGGCACAGGCTCTTCCCTTGGGCCCAGCTGGGCACCTGTGGGCATGCCCCAGGCACCCTCTTTGCAGGAGGAACAGTGAGGGGCATGTTTCCTTCGGTCCCGACTTGGCAGGAAGCCACATGCCCAGGGTCACCTGGTGCCGCCAGAACCTTTCCTGGCCAGCCCCAGAAGTGCCCTAGAGGTCCGCGCTCCAGGTCAGGGTGCTAACAGGAAGTCAAGGGGTTCCGGGGCAGCTGGGCTGGGGGCTCGCCAGGCTGTATGGACACACTTCCCGTAGGCTCAGTACTGGACGCCTCAGTGTCGCTTTGTAGGCACTTGGCCCCGAGATCTGCTGGGGTGGCAGAAACAAGGAAAAGGGAGCAAACTTCCCCAGGCGGTGACTGCGCAGTGTGTGTGCCTGGGTATGGATGTGTACATGTGTATGTATGTGTGCTTGTGTGTGCCTATGTATGTATGTGTACACGTGCATAAGCATGTGTGCATGTCTGTGTGTGCCTATGTGTATGTATGTGTGTGTTTATGTATGCATGTGCACATCTGTTTGTGCACGTGCATGTGTGCCTGTGTATGTGTGTGTACACATATATATGTATGTGTCTGTGTGCATGTGTGCCTGTGTGTGTGTTGTGTGCCTATATGTTGTATGTAACACTGCACTGCAGCACTGTCCTCCCGTTGTTCATCAATTTGCTCAAGTGGGCCCAGTAATGTCTCCATTGTGAGACTTGTTGTTACTGTGTTTGGCATATCGAATACGTCACGGGTAGCTGGCCAGGCTTTGCAGTGCGGGTGAGATACTCTCAGTAGCTTGCCGGGCTCCCCGAGAGGGGCGGAGGAATTGAACCCTGGTCACCTCGGTCAGCCATGTGCAAGGCAAATGCCTTATGCGTTGTGCTATCGCTCCAGCCTAGAGTATTCGATATGCCAGACACAGTAACAACAAAGTCTCCAATGGAGACGTTACTGGGCCCGCTCGAGCAAATCGACGATCAACGGGAGGGCCTTTACCTTTACCTATGTGTATATAGGTATATGCATGTCTGAGTGTGTGCGTGTGGGCACATCTGTGTACGTGTGTACCTGTGTGTATATGCATATGCGTCTGTGTGTGCATGTGCATCTGTGTGTATGTGCGCGTGCATGAAGGGGCAGTTCCCCACCCTCCACTCTGCTCTCTGGCTATACATGCTACCCCCACTCCGTCTCAGAGCCCAGCCTTGAGGGGGCAGACCACCCTGCCTGGCTTCACAAGAGGCCACAGCAGGCTAGCTAGGGCCCAGGGCTGACCTGCCCACTTCGCCCTGATGTGGCGGCCCCATGTCCAAAGAACCAGCCTCCACCCACAGTGAGCCTTTTTTCCTGCCCTCACCCATGGGAGGGAGCGAGAAGCTACCTGTGGGGCCTCGGGGCATCCCCAGGGGCTCCTAGGGGGCAGAGTTGGCCTTTGCCAACCCATCCTGAGTAGCTCCTGGAGCTGCCCTGGGGTAGGTATCATGGGTATCACGGGCACTATGAACCTTGCTGCACCAGGCACACAGGCAACAGCCCTCATGTGGATGGGAAACTGAGGCCAGAGCAAGCCCAAGAACACAAGATGTACTGGGGGGTGGGAGATGGTGGAGGGGATGTCCCCTAGACTGCCCCAGGTGAGGAGAGCAGAGTGGCACAGACCACCTGCTGCTGAGCTTCCTCTGTGACTGCCCACCCTCAAGGCTCCTGTGGCAAATGTCTCCCCTGCAAGTCTCCTCCCCATCCCCTGGGGTGCAAAGCAAACCAGCCTCTGCACCTTTGCTCTTGCTGCTGCCTTTCCTTGGGGTACAGTCACCGGCTGCACTCACTAGTCCTCAGGGTCCAGCACTGGCGCCCCCTCCTACAGGAAGCCTTCATGACTGTGACCTGGAGATAACATTGACTCGTTTTACCAAGGGGCTGGTCTATTCCTGCTGTATGCTGGGGCAGGACAGCCCGCCGGCCCTGGGGGATGAGAGGATTACATTTGGGACCAGCTCATCTCAAGTTTTCCCATCTGGGACAGAGGGGGCCTGGTAATGGAAACCCAACAGTGCTCCACACAGCCAGAGGTCGAGTCCCCAGGGGGCCCAGAGGAAAGAATGTCTCAAGTCAGCAAGTAGCCGCCAGCCAGCGGTGCCCAAGGAAGGCGCCGTGCACCGGGAAAGCGCTGGTTCTGGCAAAGCCCGCACCCTCCTGGGCCTGCAACTCTGCCCGCGCCCTCTGGGCGGGACCGCGGCGCCCGGACCCGCCCTCCGGACAGCGCGCGGGGTGCGGGCACCTGGGCCGAGTGCCCCGCGGGCACGCATATCGGATGTGCGGTCTCCGTGGACACCGGGTGACGTAACCGTCTGCCGCTGCTGGCCGGGGGCCGAGCCGGGCACCTCCCCACCCACGGCGGGCACGGAGAGCCCAGAGATGCGGGGGCTGCAAGTTAGGAGACGGCGCGGGGGAGGCCGGAAAGGAGGCGCCGGCCGTGCCGGCCGAGCGCGGGCTCCGGGAACCTCGGTCACGCACCCTGGCGCGGGCACCGCGGCCCGGGGTGCCAAGCGGCAGCCTGCAACCTGTCCTGCGCCCCCACTCACCTGCCCGGGCGCCCGGCGGACCGGGTGCCCGGGACCCCGGCTTGGGCGCCGGTGGCGCGGACGAGGCGCAGCGCGCGGCGCCCCCAAGTCACCCCGCAGTGCGGACCCGGGCGCGGCGTCCCGGCGCGGCACCCACAGGTGCCCGCGAAGCCGTGGGCTCGGGGTCAGCGGGGCCGCCGGGCCAAGGTCGCCCGGGGGCCCGGGGAGGAGGCTTACCGAGGCGCCCGGGGAACCCGGCGAGCCCGGGGGCAGGTCGCCGTTGAGCTCGTACTCCTCGGCGCCCGTGTCCATGGTGCGGCCGCGGGGGCCGCGTCTCACCCAGTCCGAGGACAGTCCGCGCCACCGCCGCCCGGTGCCCCGCTCCGTGCCCGCCGCGCACCGCCCGGGCCGCCCCGGTCCCGCCCCCGCCCCGCCCCACCCCTTGCCGCCGGGCCCACCTTGGCCCCGCCCCCGCCCCGCCCCGCCCCCGGACGCACACGAGCCCCAGCCCGTAGTCTCCAGGACCACTCTCGTCCCGCCCCCGCCGTAGCCCCGCCCCGACCCCCACAAGCCCCGCCCTCCGTTTTTAAGGACCGCCCTCTCCCCCGCCCCAACCCCGCGCTGGCCCCGCCCCAACCCAGGGCTGGCCCCGCCCCGCCCCGCCCGGCCCCACCCCGGCCCGGACCGCTTCTCGGCCCTTGCACGCCGGGGCCCGCCCACCCGCGTCCGGCCCGCCCGCCCGCTCCGCTTGGCGCTCACCCTGTCTGCCGTCCGGCTCCGCTGGCCGCCCCGGGCTCCCGCGCGGCTTCGGGCTGCCCCGACGTTCTCGCCGCGGGTTCGTGGGCAGGACTGGGCCCTCAGCGTGCCCCCGTCGTAAACGCTTTTATCCAGAGAACCAGGCGGAGAGTCAGCCTGTCCCTGGCCGCTTGGCACCGCGCCCGGAGCGTCCCGGGGGCGCGGGGGTACTTGTGCTCCCATCCCCGCACCGCTCACCCTGGGGACCGGACTTGGAAAGTGGGTCGGCGCGTCCGGCCTTGCCGCCGTGCAAAGGGGACACAGGAAGACCCCCCCCCCCCGCGCACGCCGTGCCGGGACGCCCCCTCCCCTGGGCCCGGGAACGCAGAGCCCACCGATGGCGCTTTATCTTCCCTTAGGACCTGGGCTCCCGCAGGGCCGCCGGGCCGGGCAGCTGGATTCCCTCTCCCGGCTGCTTTGAGCCGCTGTGTGTACTCAGGCGGCGGCCGCCTAACCTCTCTACGCCTGACGTCCCTGTCTGTGACTAGGGAACAAGCCTGGGCATTTGACCGGGCTGGGAACAGTGCCCCAAGTCAGGGGCAAATCAAACTTAGCCCAGCCTGGCCTAGCCTACTAGGTAGGAAGGTGCGCCTGCAGAATGTGAAGCCCCATTGAGGGGGTTGGGATTCAGAGTCTGCAACAAGGTTGCCAGTGTTGGGACTTGGGTGGGGGGTGCCCAATCACTTGATTGGGGCCGGGTGGGGACAGTGCGGCTTCTCTGGGAGAGGCTGGTCTGGAGCACTGAGCTGTGGCAGCCAGAGAGCCATGCTCCGCGCTCCAGCAGAAAGCAGGAGGTTGGCTCAGGGGCAGATGGCCCACAGACAAGCCTTAGGGCATTGCAACCAGTGTCTGACACCTGCTCTGTATACCAAGCCTGCCCTCCCCCACGCTGTAACAGCGTGACATGGAGCACATGGAAATGCAGGTCACCCTCAGGGTTGATTCAAGAGTCAGAATCTTCAAACTCTTCGTCTTGGCAGCAGGCAGCCAGAAGGATAGCACAGTGGGGAGGGTACTCGCCTTACATGCTGCCGACCTGGGTTCAATCTTGGCATCCCATATAGTCCCAAAAGTCCCACCGGAAGTGATCCTGGAGGGCAGAGCCAAAAGTAAGTCCTGAGCAGTGCAAGGTATGGTCCCAAAATGAAAAAATAAATCCTGACCCTAGGAAATGCAGGCTAAAAACTGGACGGGGCTCCGTCCCCACGCCTGAATGCCACAGCTGGCTTCCCCCATCCATTTATGGACACACTTCAACACTTCTCTCAGTACTCTGCCTACCTGAGGGTCCCAGGCGACTGAGCACCATCATAGAACCTCCCCTACCCACAGCCCCAGCCCCTCAGCACAGACCATGAGATGAGATCTGTGGCTGTGGCTGCAGCAAGAGACCTGGAATATTCCAGCCGAATCTTCCATCCCAGGAAGGAAGAGTGGCTATCTGTCCCTCCCCCCACATACTTCCCAGCTGGGGAACGGGGCCCCTTCCAGGAACTCATCACCCCCTCTGCTGGGTGGAGGAGCTAGGGGAGAAGTTGCTAGAACAATCCAGTATCTGGAGCTGGGATTGGTTCCCTCCTTTCTTTATACTGACCCGAGGGAAGGGCCATCCATGCCACCTTCCCCTCTCCTGTCCTTGCTGAATCTGTGGTCACAGTCTCTGTCAGCTTCCCCCCCCCACCCCACCCCAGCTACAACTCCCAGAGAGGGACATTCCCAGCTGCTGTGTCATCGTCATTTGCCTATTTCCAAGAAGACAGAAGTGACGTGACGGTACCCCTGTTCCCCGAATCTGCTTGCTTTCAGATGCCAACCGGGAGGCTGGTAGAGTGGCAGGACCAGCTCTGAAATACTGGCCCTGGGGCACCAGGTCCCGGGGAGGTGGCTGTGGGGTGTGGCCCACAGGGACAGGGAAGGGCGGGGTGGCCACACAAGGGAGACGTGGGAACAGGTGGAGGGCCAGTGTCTGTAGGCAAACAAGTGTGCGCAGGAAGCTCACTCGTGTTTGGGGAGGGGGGAGGTTGGCATGCATACACACAGACACTCACATCTCTGCATATGCATTCATGCACATGGCGGGCAGAACTCAGCCCTGCTGAGCTGTGTGACAGTCTCAAGTGAGGATGCCACCAGGGCGAAGGGACAGCATATGGGGAAACAAAGATGTGCACCCTGAGTATGAGCGTGATGGGGCTCCCTGGCCCCCCCACCAGTCCCTCCTCACCCCGCCTCAAGCAGGCAGCTCCCTCTGACTGCCAAGGTCACCTCCTCTGAGCAGGCCTCCGGGGATGACTCAGCACAGAGGGATATTCTGGGTGGGCTGGAGGTGGGGGGGCGGGAGGTGTGTACCAGGGCAGTACTCCCCTCCCCTCCTCAGGAGGGAGTCTGGGTCTTAGCGCCAGAAAGAAGGCTGGTGAGTCCCAGGAGCTGGTTGAGCACTAACACACCCTCCTGCTACACACACACACACACACACACACACACACACACACACACTGTCACAGTTGGAGATGCAGACCTAGCCTGCTGGGAAGGTGCCTTGGAGGGGGAGTTGGTTCTGCCCCCACGCCCACAGCATGCTTGAGTCAGAGCTGAGATTGGCTGGGCTCTGTGCCCCGTCACCTGGCCCGGCCAGCACACACCCACCCTGGAGGTGAGCAGTAGGAGGCGGTGCTTATGGGGGTGCTGGGCACGCCCTGGAATCTGGTGGCTGCCTCCTGCCCACTCCTGAGGGACCATCAAGGGTAGCCCTGGGCTCTACGCAGCACTCAGGAGCTCCGTGCGCGAGTGCTTGACCCCGGTCCCGGAGGACAGAGGAAGGCGGCCGGGTGTGGGAAGGGGGACTTGGCGCTGGAGAGGAGCCGCTCGCCCGCCCAGGTCACCCAGACACACCGGGTCCAGGATGGCGAGGTGGGTCCTGGCCAGGGCTGTGCGTGCTGGCGGGGCCCTCCAGGACACATTACCACTGAGCTTCTCAGGAAGATGCAGCCACTCCGAAAAGCTCTGGACCCAGAAACCAAGAAAGTGTCCCCCCGGGGAGGCAGGACTGAGTCGTGGCTTTCCCTGCTCTGGACATCCCACAGCCAGTCCCAGAGCAAGCCTGGCCGTTTGTGCATCTGTCTCCTCGGGGAGACTGAAGCTCACCCCATCTGCCACCTACAGGGCTCTCTGAATGGGGGTCTTATCCCAGCAGCCTCCACAAGGTGCTCTGTGGTTTCCCCTTGATCCTGCTTGTACTTCAGTAATCATTTTCCTCATCAGGGCTCCTTTTGTTGGTCGTTTTCTAAGATCTTGAGCTGTGAAGTCAGGTTATTTATGTGGGCCCTTTCTTCCTTCCTGAGAAATGCTTGCAGAGCTATAATTTTTCCCCTCAACACTGCGTTAGCTGCATCCCACAAGTTCTGGTAGCTTGTGTCTTCGTTTTCATGTGTTTCTGGGTATCTTTTGATTTATTCCTTGATTTCCTCCCTGACCCACTTGTTGTTCAACATTGAGCTATTTAATTTCCAGGTGTTCGATTTGATTCTGCGTTTCTGTGTGTGATTAACTTCTATCTTCAATGCATCGTGGTCTAAAAAAAGAAGTGATACAATTTCTATTTTTCTGATTCTATTGGGGCTGGAGCGATAGCACAGCGGGTAGGGCGTTCGCCTTACACGCGGCCAACATGGCCGACCCGAGTTCGATTCCTCCGCCCCTCTTGGAGAGCCCGGCAAGCTATCAAGAGTATCTTGCCCACACGGCAAAGCCTGGCAAGCTACTTGTGACGTATTCTATGTGCCAAACACAGTAACAATTGTCACAATGGAAACGTTCCTGGGCCCGCTCGAGTAAATCGATGAACAACGAACGGGAGGATAGTGACAGTGACAGTGATTCTACTGAAGTATGTTTTGTGGCCCAGCACATGGCCTATCTTGGAGAATGTTCCATATGCACTGGGAAAGAACGTGTATTTAGTTTTGGGGGATGAAAAGCCCTTATACATATATTAGCCCTCTTTCTTCCATTTCTTCCTTCAAAGCCAGTACTTCCTTGGTGAGTTTTAGTCTTGTTGATCTATCAAGGGGTGATAGGGTGGTGCTGAAGTCTCCAACTAATATTGTGTTGCTACCAAAGTCCTTCTTGAAGTCTATTAGCAGTTGTTTTAAATTTTTTAGATGGCTCCTCATTGGGTGTGTATTATGTTTAGGAGTGTGATTTCTTCCTGATGTACATATCCCTTGATTATTAAAAATTGCCTTTGCTGTCCCTTCTAATCTTTTTCAGCCTGAAATCTATGTTGTCGGATACTAGTATGGCCACCCCAGATTTTTTGAGGAAGTTGTATGCGTGAAGGGTTGTTTTCCATCCTTTGACTTGTCTGTGTTTGCTCTGACTGTTAAGATGTGTTTCTTGTAGGCAGCAGAAGGTTGAGTTCAGTTTTTTAATCCATTTTGCCACTCTGTGTCTCTTAATTGGTGCATTTAGACAATTGACATTGAGAGAGATTATTGTCATGAGGTTTTGTGACATCTTTCTGTAGAGGTTTGTTGTGCTGATAGGGGTTTTTTTTCCTTCAGTCTTTGAGTTTGGTTTTGAGTCTGTGAAGTTCCTGAGCTGTTTATCCATGAA